TGCCTTCCACAGTTATCCTCACATTTCATTTCAGAGCTGATCTGACAATTGAATATGTTTCCTGTTTTATGCTGATAAAGTATGCTCTAACTGTGAATCTCCAAATATTTTTGCGTGACACTGAAGATAGAATGTAGGTGACTGAACTATAGAAAGCATTTTCTCATGATTAAATGGAGATTTTTGGATGAGCTGAAGAACAAAAGTTACTGAAGCAAAAAGAAAAGAGAAGTGCAATTTCTTATGTTACTCTTCATAATTTAACTGAAAAAATGTAACAAACTTTCTTCTATTCCCTATACAGAAAAATTGTTTAAATATTTAAACTATTGACAAATTTATCTAAGGTATTTAAATCTTGTTAAATTATACACACTTACACATGCACAGACTCTCAAAACACATATGTTAAAATTGTGTATCAAGAGGTACCAAAAAAGACATATACATTTAAATCAGCTTTGAAATACTGAAAAGGATAAGGCCACCTGCCTTTCTGTAGTGACAGACTTACCTGCATTTCTAGAATATTGAATATTTTTCAATTGCAACATAAAAATTAGTTGGCTGTTAGGAGGGCTTTACTCCCAAAAATAAAGGATAAGGTGAAACAAGCTTCTGGGAGAATAAATTAGAAATATTTATTGATAGAAAATTCTTCCAGCAGTTGTTTTGAAAATGACTCATAGATACATTTTCATGTCAAAAGTGGTATCATTACATTATCTTGCCTGACAAATTTCTTAACACAGATCACAGATTTTTCATCCACATGCTTGTGTCACTGTCCTATTGGCATTAGTCTGAATAAACTTGTGTTGAAAAAAAAAAAAAAAAAAGAGTGCCTTAAATGCTATCAACTTTTTACTGGTACCTTTAGTTGACTAATCAGCACAGCTTTTACAGTTCCTACCTTCTTTGCCATTTTAACTAACTTTGCCTAACTTTGATTTCTACTCATTTTCTTTTTACCTGCTTAATTTTAGGCTTAAGGAGTTCTTCAGTGCCTTTACTCTCTGCTTCCACCCCTTAATCAACAGATCTATTGAATTTTTAATCAATTATTTCATATGCTTGCCAATTTATGCCCCCAGGTAAGTTATTTGCATCTCCATAAATGCTCCTTTTACATCAAGCAAAGCCCACTGCTGTTTGCCATTATTTCATAATGAATAATTTAAACCAATTAAATAAAAAGGGATTTTTGTACTCAGCTTGCTTTACTTAGGTTTCATGTCAAAAAATATTATTTCATCCTCAAAATCTTGACAATGAAGAGCTTTATATTTATGTGATAAGTATTTTTATTTTGTAGTTTGTAAACTTTATACAGAACTTTTTTTATATTACATTTTGTATGGTAGTGTATGAAAGTGGTTTTGAGAGTTCGGGGTTTTTTAAATTTTTATTTGTTTACTACATAAAACTGTAAATACTGAATTAGAGGCTCAATGATATTTTGCTGAATTTTTGTCAATAAAACTATTTTTCACACAGTGAAAAGACTGCTTTTTAAAGCGTATTTTCATGTTTCAAATTTTAAGGGTCTTCCTGGTTATTTAGGAGGTCCTAATCAAATTAGAATTCAGACTCAATGCCTTGCTTTCTCTTCCTTTTCTTTGTAATCTGATGCAGAAAGTAAAAGAAAAAAAGTATACAGTTACAACAAAATAGATTTATTTGATGAGTAATAAATATGAATCCACTAGCTATAAACCACGTAATAATCTCTGATATCTCTGAACAAGGTACAGAACATCCTGCCTTGTAGCTGCTCAAGACTAAGGCCACTGTGACAATTGAAAATGGCATCCCAATCTTCTATATTTTTTGTGAAAGGAATCAGTCTTTGGAATGGATGCTAGATGAAAAAGAACACTAAACACATGCAAGTAAATATAAAGAAAATATTGGTCATGGTGGAAGACAAGTTTTAGGTTTTATTTAACATCTTTGGACTATATACTTTTCCTGAAGTTTAAATCAGTTAAGTACTTTGTAGTAGACAAAGTATTGTGGGTAGATATTAATATTTGTTTACTGTTTCAATATTTTTATTGTTACCAGAAGAGGAATTATTCTCTTATCCTGAAACACTAAAATATTAATGAACATTCAGTAGGATCTGGTAGTTCATTTTCTCCACTCTAGTGCTTCTGTCATGAAGAGAAACAGAGAAATCTCTCAAACTAAGGAAAATTACAATTCTATTTAAAAAGAGAAACTTGGTACAGTAAATCTCTCTCTAATCTAGACTGTTTAAATTCATCAGAATTTTAGTTACATTTAAGTGGAAAATGGAGAAAAAATAGATACAGACATGTTAAGTCCTGTCCCTGTGGCACAAGGGACAGTCATTGAAATTGCCAATATACACAGGAGAAAATACCAGCTACCTTGAGTGACAGCTGATGAATATAAGTCTAAATGTGGACGATTTTTTTTAAATATCTCATTCAAATGCAAGCAAGCCATGTAATAGAGATACACTTTGCTTAGTAAATTATGTGGTAACACTTAACTCTAAAGCACAACTCACTCCGCTATCTCATGCAAAGGTTAGCACAGCCCTTGCAATTCCTTCTACTTGAAGTGAATATTAGCCAGAAAAGCTGTGTCATTCGCCAAGCCAAATAGATTTATAACAAAAGTAGCATTTGAGGTACTATAAAAGGGAAAAAGTTTGAGCCTCTGGTTCAGTAATATCCATGGGGCTTGTTCAAATGGGTCCAAAAACCAGTCATTACTTAAATGGAGACTTTTAAGATGCTGGCATAAAAGTTGAACAAACCTTGAGTTTCTACAGATGTTGAATATAGTAGTGTAATGGGAAGCTGTTTTTCTTGGTTTTATTTGCTTTTATATTTAGTGAAACCATAGCTAAGTTCTATAGCACCTGCTGTAGAAAACTAGAACATGGTGAAGATTAATGCTCCAATGTCAGAACCTGCAATTCCACTGCAATGATTTTTCCACTTCCAGTTTTTATTATTTACAGGTTTTTGTCAGCTAAAGAACTTGCTTGGAACATTTCAGCATTTTATAAGCCTGACCATATTTACAGACAATAAATGAATAACTGAATATCAATAAAGTGGTAAAGAAACATATAAATTATATTCTTCTATTACTTATGCTGGAATTGCTTCTCTGTTAATACAGACTGAGGCTGGAAAATCTTCCCAGATAGTTTGGAGGGTTGGATGATAAAAAAAAACCAGCACATTCGTACTTTTTTATGTGCTTCCACACATCAGTGCCAGGAAGGCACTGGTTTAGGTTTTACTGCTTTGTGAACTGTCTCCTTGGCTGTAATAACTTCTGCTACATGGCTGAGAAATTAAAAAAAAAAGAACAAAAAAACAATGTATTGCTATACAAGAATAGGAGACATAGAAAAAAGAGGGGAAAAGAAAAATGCCTAAAATTGCAAGTGACTTAAGAAGAGCATCAACAAATGCAAATGGCTAAAAGAAGAAGGACCTTGAAATTACAAAAAATTATACAGCACGCATTCCAGAGATTTCTATTCAAAAAGTAAAAAAAAAAATCTTTGGATAAGTGATAAGGAAGAGTCACCCTAGCTCCAAAGTGCTCAGTTCTCTGACAAAGAGCTACCTTGGTGCTTATTGCATTAAGCCCAAGGCCTGAAGCAGAGGTTACCAAAGAGAATGGGGGAAAAAAAGTGCACGTAAGAAGTGGCATTTTTCAACCTTTCCAAAGGCTGACCGTGTTCTTGGAGCATTGTTCATTTACACCCTCAGTGCAATGCCTTCACTGAGTGAACTTGTCCTGTTACTCAGCTCCCAGCATGAGCACTTCCAAGGAGCCAATATTTGCAGGCACTCAGTAACTGAAGGACATGCCACAGTGATGGGATGTGTTCCATTTGGCATGTTCTACTCCTTGATAAGACCCCAAACCTCACAGCCAACAGTGGCAAAATTAAACTTTTCACTTCTCTGTTCAGATTGCTAGGAAGGTGGATTTTTTCAGACTATATATTTGGTTTTGTGGTTGGTTTTTTTGATTATTTTTTTTCTATTGAAGTCTCAAGTGCAAAAAGTTTCTGAATTTTATTGAGCCATTCCAACTTTAATCTGCCTCCCTAAGGAAAATGTAGCGCACCTATGTGACCTACAAAACCTGAGAAATATATCATTTATGCCAGTAAAAGGTCTTTCCAGTGGGAAAAATATTTTAGAAGCATAGTATTTTCATATTTCTTGTTGACACTAGTCTGTCTCTGCCTAGATAAAACTAGAGAAATGTTAAAATTATCTTTTACATAATTTGGCCCCCAAACCCCCCAAAACCAACATAAACCAGAAAGCACTTCAAAGGAATAGAAGAAGGCATCTCTTTTCCTTCTCATTTAAGAAATTTTGAGCATCTGTTTTTCACTGTTTTTAAAACAGAGAGAAGACCACATAAAATAATTCTGATTTAATTCACAATTAAAAATTAAAAACTATGTACAATAATAGTCTTATTTAATTTGCTACTCATAATTTTAACTTTCTAAACATGTATCATTATCTCTTCCCTTTTATTACACTCCAGGAAGACTGAAGAAAATGGAAAAAATAGGACAAAACTTTTCAAAATAGTGTTGCATATTTCAAAGATTCTGCTCTCAGTCCTAGTGAAATCATACATTGCAGCTGCTATTAGTTCCATCAACATATTTGAAAGCAACCAAACTGATCACTGCTTCTTTAGGTCCTCAGTTAGGTAAAGAAATGCTACACTAGTTAAATGTGACATTAAAGTGGAGCTGTAAATCCCATACAGCATTATGGAGAAATAGGTACTTTTCTAGTCAAAATTAGTTTATTTCCAATTTTTCCCATGCCTTCTAGTTTGATTCTGTATCTACTGACATCAGGACTTTTGATATTTCACTTTAAAGGGAAAAAATAGATCTCTTTTTGCAAGGTAGTTAGTGTTATGCTTTTGTCTGTCAAAGTGGTAATTTATTTTATATTTTCTTATCATACCTTGAGAATTTTGCACATTATCTCATAAACTGAAAATGTTTTCTCAGCTCGTGTCCAATCCCAGGTTGTGACCTTTAAAAAACAAACAAAACACAAAATAAACAGAAAAAAAAAGTTATTTTTGTTGGTTTCAAGAATTAAGTTTATTAAGAAAAAAAAAAATCCCTAAACTATTTACATTGGTTAAAATAAATTCAGAAAGGCCAAGCACTGCCTCAAAGGAACAACTAGCAGGGAGCAGACTGTTCCATCCAGGCAGTGCTTAGGAGAAATCTTCCCTGTCCTTACAATGCAGCTCCTTTGCATGCAGACTGCTCTCTGCAAAACGAAACCTCCCCTGGGAACTTGCAGGGGTTGCAGTGAGATCCTGAGAGGATACAGCCCTTGAATTCATCTCACAGAGCCAGGGCCCTGTCTACTAGAAAACATGATTCTCACCACTTTCCTCCTTGTAACTGCATGCCACTATTTGCTCCCAGCCACCTACAGTGTCTGCAAGTTCACAAAACCAGTCTCCAACCTTGGAATGTCCCAAACACTTACCCCACATGCCTTGAAATCCAGGGGGAAAAAAACAAAGCATGAAACAACACAGGCAGATATTCACTTTCTTTTTTTCTTACCAAGATTAATCTACTCCTAAATTCTAACAAACTAAGATTTGAAGAATAGATTGTTTCCTCCTTTTTGTTTCCTCTTTGTTTTGGGATTTCACAACTGTTTTTAACTGTTTATTTTTTAATATTTTAGGCAACTGTATTACACAGAAAAAATGCATATATGAAAGAATTGAATTAAATCATGGAAGGGTAGGTGTTAAGACTTAAATGAGACAGAAAGGGGTAGATGAATATACTCAGTAAAGGAAGAGTTAAGGCAATATCAGAACAGTGTATAAAATTTCCAAAGAAAATGCAAGCAGAAAACAGGAGAATATTTAAAGCTTCAAAATACAGAGGAAAGCACAAACTAGAATGAAATTTAGGTTATGAATGAAAGAATAATCATCTTAATGGTAAGACACTGGACAGTGGCCCATATCCAAAGGAAGACAGCTGTATCATTAAATTTATTAGGCACAATGAAGAGGTTGATGAAAACATATGTTACTGTTTCTACAAGATTCAAGATGAACTTTTTGAAAAATGTTTAATAAAATAGTTTCCAGAGCCCAAGGAACAAAATATTCTATGAGGTCAATTTATCTCTTATCTAAACAGAAAATAATCATTAATAGATCAAAATTATTTTGATGTTGTATGAGAAAATTCTATCCCTAACTCATTTTTAGTTATAAACATTACTGTAATGGAAAGTCCTTTAGGGAAATCACAGGCAGGAAGGAAAAGTTCGAAAAGACAGTGCCATAGTTACTCTTCTATTAGGATTTTCTTTATTTGAAGTCATTGTCAAATGCAGTCTTTACTATCTTATTGAACTGAGGGTATTAAACCGCAAAGTTACTCTTTCTCCTACGGACAAAAAGATAAATTTCTCACCATGAACAGAAAAATGGGGAGAGGAGTCTTGCTACAGCCCCACTGAGCCCACAACACCCCGTCACACCAGGTGAAGTCATACTGTGCTATGAGGAAAAGTCATTACTGTTGCTCCTGAAGAACAAAGTCATTTGGAGCTATGCTTAAAAATTTACAATAAGCTCCATACTTTGGGGGAAAATATAAGTGCTCCCTCTTCTGCCCTGGTTTCCTGCTTTTGTTTGTACCTGTAAAGGGACTTCTTTTCAGGTCAAACCAAAACTCTTTCTGTGTAAAGACATGTGCAAAGCAAAAGCAATTGTAGAATTAAGATGCCCATAGAAATTGCTGCACCAGTCACTTTTGATGTTTTAATTTAAAATATTGAGTAGAAAAAGAAAGGGTGTTAGTGGCTCTTTCTCGAGTAAATTTCAAATTATAAATTGGACGATATTGAAACCTACCAGACTTGATACAATTAATATTTCTAAAGAAGGAAATGTATCAGGAAATAGTAGAAAAAATAATACTATAGGAGTAATTGTCTTTAAAAATTTCAAAATGCAAATAAGAAACACTAGGATTGCTCTTTTATCTGAAGTAGAAGTACTATTGATCAAACAGATAAAAAAAGAGGCAGGGGGAGGCTGTTGATAGACATCATTTAAACACGTGCTTCCCTAATGTGTTAGATTTTGGCAGAGACTGGGGAAACACTTTTGTTTGATTTTCTGGTTTAGAAAGTTTGCAGGACATCTCTTTTCTGACATCTCAGAAAACAACTTTGTCCAAGTAGTTTATACTGCACATGTAATTAAAACAGTCTTTATTTTAACTACACTTTATACATCTCTTAAAAAGAAGCTCTGAAACTGTCATTGAAACTTTGTTCACAATAATTTCTAATCCCTGGAAGAGACAAACTTGCAGAATAGCAAACATAATTGTATGTGTGAAAAGTTTGCATATAGAAAATAGGAATTTAGACGTGTGGAACTATATACATTACATTTTGGAACTGGATGACCTTTAAGGTCCCTTCTAACCCAAACATTCTAAGTCTTTAAGGCAGCTCTGTAGGAATTCTTCCTCTGTCCTAAAAAAAACACAGTTATCATTCTGCTTCCCTCCTACTTCATGAAGAGAAAATATTTTTCTCTGCATTTGAACAGTTTTTCTATTTTAGATTGGGAACCAGAATCTGACAATACAAATTCATTTTGTGCTTGCAGCTGAGCTGAAACAAGAGCTACAAAAACCAGAGGATGGATTTCTTGCCTTATACAATAGCAGCTTGACAAAATTTTCCTTACATCACCATGTGAACATGTTCCTTTCACATCCATTAATCACTGCCCATCAGACATTTACCCTCTACAACTATATTGTTCTTATAAATTCATGATTCTTCAGTAAAGAGGCTTGTGGTCTCTTCCATTAAGAACTTCCATAGTTCTTAAAAAAGAATAATCTTCCTGTTTTGTATTGAACAGGATTTCTCATCATTTATTCTGATTCTGTCTAGTACCCAGAATGGAGTTGGTTTTATTTGACAGGCAGCAAATGCTCAAGTAGGTCTGGCAAAGACAGGAGAGCTGGTTTTGAATTAAGGTGCTTGTTAGCATAATCTGACATTTTAATCTGATCCTGAAAAATATCCACCAAAAAAAGCCAAGCTTCCACTAATAGACTGAGAGAGCCAAGATCCTGGTCTAAAAACATTGAACCCATGAAGCTTTCAGCTCCTACTTACTTCCATTCCCCATGTCTTTCACATGTTTTTAAACGTTTTGCTAAACAAACACCAGTAGTTACTGATGATCAATCTAAAGATTTGCAAGATGGCTTTGAACTACCTCAGGAAGAGGTTGCCCCAAGAGGTAACAGATGCCCCATCTCTGAAAACACTGAAGACCAGGTTAGACAGGCTCTGAGAAACCTGCTCCACTTGGAGATGTCCCTGCTTGCTGTAGGGAGGTTGTACTAGATGACCTTTAATGTTCCCTTTCAACGCGAACTATTCGATGATTCTGTTTCAGGCAGGAAGGAGCTACAGCCTGGATCTGACAAACACAGGGTTTAGCAGCAGTCAGAAAGGTCACCCAATAAACAGGAAAAATTAATCCACATGACTCTTCCTGCTGCAGGCATGGGACTGCGACTGTCTCCTTAGCAACTGGCTTAAAAGTTAGCTAGAGGATTTTTACTGCAGCTTAGATGTACCGTAACATTGTAAGAAAGAAAATTACTGAATATAGGATGAACGTTAAAATTTTACCCAGTGTTTCCAGTGAGATTCCAATTCAGATATTTAACTTAAACATTTTCATTTATTCCCTACCTTCTTTTTAGTGCTCTTAAGCAGCAAAAACTTACATTCAGGATGGAATCTAAACAGAAATATATTGCCATCTCCACAGCATGTGAAAAACTTTGATGTTTTCCCAAATCTCAGAAGTTTCACTAGAATGATTGTTCAGTTTAAATCTAACCATCTTGCTTTGGGCCTGTTCTGTCTGCCATGGGAAAATTAAAAGCTCCCTTTTAACATGAGCAGATTTCTCTTTTATTTTTCTAAGTGTTCATTCAAGTGGGGGAAAATAAATTCTTGCTAGATACCCAATCATCTGATGAAGAGATGTTTTCTATCACTTCTATACCACACCCTTTGGAACTTTTCAATGCCGTTAGTTGCAGTCCTACTAGCCCAATGAGAGATATCTCTTTGTTAAAGACTTGTACACATCACATGACATTATTTTATTCCATAACATTTATTCCCACTAAACGTGAGGAGCATACTTACTGGAGGTGCTATAAATTTATACAGGGAAGATCCCCTCAGTGCTAGAAACTTTGGTGTGTACATTCGGTCCTGAAGGGAGTCTTGTTCCCGTTCTTCCGTCCAGCCCATGTAGACTATCTGACAAAAAAATCAACAGTGTTGAGAATTTCTCAGAAATTCTGTTGTGTTGCAAAGTATTTCATGTGCATAAACTGATGTTTGTCAAATTTAACATAGCTGCAAACCTTGAACCCCAGACACAATACAGTACACTGGCAGTTTATATAAAGGATGCCTGTCAGGAAAATGCAAAAACGTGATAAGAAATACTTATTGTACTAGCAACAACAAAAAACCTAAACCACATACTCCAGGGGTGTTAAAGGTGTATTCTGCATATTTGCTGACTGATGATGTCAGTGAAATTTAATGCAAGTGAACTCAGGAATCCTGAGTCAATCAACTGCTATTACATAGCAACATAGATGCTCACGTGCAAGTTCACAGTTACACATTAAACAATATGATCTTGCAAATTTCAGTTCCAATTAATGTCAATTTTTTTTTTACTCTCTGAAAATCTCTTGTGTATGAGTTTTGAACCTTTTTGCTTAGAAATAGGAGATTAACAGACTGTTTTCCGTCACTATTTTGAATAGATTTCGTCTATAGCTAAGAAGTAACCAGAATGCTGCAGACTCTTACCACTACCTGCAGATCTTCTGACACACATGCTTGAACTAGAACTTATTCCAACTCACAGTAAGATGTAATTTCCTATCTATCCTATTAAGTCTGAGTTATTTAAATCAAATCCTTAAAGAGTAGAATAATATGAGTCACCACTATGACAACTTCTGGAGAACCACTGAATAGGGAGTAGACATCATGGAACATTTGATTAATAACCATGCCATTAGTAATAAAATACAGTGTGCACAGGTACACTACTGCTATGAAAAATAGTTCAACCCATATTTCATACAGTGCTGCTAATGGGATAGATCTATTTTTAAATGTCTCTGTGAAACCGATTTCTACACTAACAAAGCAAATATGGGACATTCTCTGTCTTAAATGTCAGTAATAATCATGTAAGGAAAATGGTAATAATTATGTAAGGAAAAGGTAAAAAAGTCAATAAGTCAGTAAGTGTACCAATGGTATGAATGTGCCTAAAATTAATGTTTTTACTGCATGTTTTATCATCCCAGATTTTGAATGCTGTGTACTTTTTGAAAAGGAATTTACACTAGATTATTTCTTTTCTTTTGGGCAGAGAATTTTTAGCAACATTTCTTCACAGAATATGCATTACAAGAAATAGTGAATCTATTGTTTTTCTTTTTCTCTCTCCTTTATATTTTGGGGGGGATGGGGGAGAAGGTATTTTTTTTTTTTAATTGTAACACACTGGAAATGATTGGCTTTTTCAAAATCCCCTTGTATGAAATCAACACTACTAGTCTCTTTCACAGTTTATTGGATATTTTATGGTCTATAACCAGAGACAGGGAGAAGGTCCATTTTTCTCATACTACAGTGACACCTCAGTACTTAATTATTTTGTCAATATCAAACACTAAAACTGTCATACCGTCTCAGGTTCAATGAAGAACATGTGTTGAAATATCTGCTCGTTTGGTGACTAAACACGTTTATAAAAGTCAAAAAGAAGACAGGTCTGTATCACAATATTCAACCATCAAAAAGAGTGCTAAACACTGTGTTGTTATGCAATAACTAAAAAGCCATGTTCTCTGAAATCTCATTAGTTCCTGAATGAAGAACTATTCAAAAGGAAAAAGAAACCCAAACAAATAATTGACTGGTAAAGTAACAAAAGTTTTTAATTATTTCAATTAAATGTTAATTCAAATTTCTTTCATTTCTGCTTTTTCATATGCTATCCATAAATAAGATCCTCATCCCTCTGACTTGATTGCAGTCTCTAGATCTCAGTGACTGAGGTGGATTACACAGAACAGGTAGTTAAGTATGAACCAATTGTACCACCATGCGCAGAATTTTGGCACATTTTTCCGTCTATAACTGGAAGAAAATGCATGATCTCTAATTTCCAGGTATTGAGACATCTATGCTTCAAAATTAATTCAATTGAATTAATTTGGTTTCATCTTGATTTTTTTCATTAAAATTGGACACACAGTAAGATATCATCTTGCCTGATGATATTTAATATCACTGTAACACTGTATGTAATCCCTCCTTAGTGTTTTTGTCTTTCATATTTCTACACCGACTATTCATCAAGATAACAGGATACAGTCACCCATGCTGTGCAGATGTATTGGTATTCCACATTTGATTGACTCAATACTAAAGTAGCCATGAAATTTAAGGTAATTGGTCCCTTAGATATTTCTCCCTTGCTTCTGTAGATCATGAGGAAAAATTAGATTGATTTTCCAGACAACCTGCTGTGCCAGAAGTTTTATTAACAGAAAAGCATTTCTCCTGCAGACTCAATACCTACTCTTCAACACAGAGAGGAACTGTCAAGCAAAGGCTGTATGATTATAATTAGGAACATACACAAATTTGTTTGAGTACATGTGCATATCCACATGTGTGGATTAAAATAGTACAGGTTATATTCTGGAAAACAAGGCAAAACGAAACAAATACTTCCCAACTCTTTTAATAGATAACTCTGAATGAGAACTATGATAAATTTTAAGTTCCTAAAGTGATCTCAGTTTATCTAAACATACTAAATGTGTGAAATTAAATATTGCAATTGCAGTGAAGGTGAGAAACTTGAAAATTTTCACTTCTGAGGTAAAATAGGTGACATTTTTGAAACATTCCTGCTACTAGGACACCTTCTGACTTCTAAAAAAGCTTTGACCTATAAGAACTTAGAGAAACTTACTTACTGGAAAGGCATTGTAACTTAAAAAATTAATAGTTCATGCTTATATATGAACTGAAATATTGGATGAACAAGATATATGTCTTAATAGTTCTGGACCATATCTCAGTGTAGCTGCACATGTGGATTTGGCATATATGGCACCCCAAGAAATTCCAGAAATTCCAGAAATTCTAGAAATTTGATTTCTGAAAAAAAATGCTTAGAGGATCAGATACACGATGAACGGATATAAATGTTAATCATAGACAGTTCATAGCATGCTCCTTTATAAGTTCAAAAATCTAGTTAGTTTTTAATCTTATCATTTTTTTGAGTCCCTACAAAACTGTTGACTGTTATCAACAAATGTGGCAGAGGTGGTGAAAAGAGATTTTATTTATGATTCACATTCCACTTGAAAAATAATTTTTTCAATCCTGGTTTCTAACTTACTTCAAGCAGCTCATTCTTCAAAATCAAATGGTGACACAAATTAGTTAACTTAGAGGCTGCTGATTCAGTAACAAAGATTCAATAAGTCATTATGGTTTATGAGTTAAATCATGGACAGTTTAAAAAAATCTATATTGAAATGATAAATGAAACAGGACAATTTCTTCAGTCAAAAATCCATAATCTTGTAATTTAATATGTTCTTAAATCACACAGACATCCTAATCAAGAAAGATAAATTACCATATTTTATATCAGTCCAATATATTGCTAAAAAAATGACTTAAATAGCCTTGACTACCAGAGAGACTTTTCAGAGTTTTTACACAGATTTTATTATATTGTAGGAAGAATAATAAGACAAAAATGCAAGAAAATTTGTGAGGCAATTGAAAGATCAGAACAGATGCACTGACAGCTTTTTATCTTGCAAGTCTGATACACTCACTATGTGAAACTCTGCTGTAGGGCAACAGGATGTACATGGAATCAGAAGACAAATAAATATGTCAGACAACATAGAGAGAAGTAATGAGCAATGAAAAACTCAGATAACACTCTCTACCCTGGTTTTAATATACATTTTTCTGTACTTTTAAAAATCATTTTCTGAGTGGTCTAAAAATTCATGATAGTCAATTGCTAGTAGAAAAACACTAAAAACCACAATGGAAATGTGGGAAAAAATGGAAGAAAAAGGGTGGTCAGAATGCAATCATTGGAAAAAAAGTTCTGCTTAGGAATTAGCTTAGGGAAAGGCTTAGGATTTTTACACTGAGTAAAAGAAAATGTTGAAAGTCAACTAACCACACAGAATTTTGAATGGATGCTAGAAAATTTTTTCCCTATTATAAATTCAGTTAAAATGTCTCCTATCCTATTTTTCATATTTTAGGTTTGTAAAAAGCCTGATAGACTTTACATAGTTTTTTTACAATTTGGGTGAATTATTTTTTTCTTCCTCATTAAAAAAAAAAAGTCCACTAAAACTTTAGAGCTATCACTAACAGCTCTAATGATCACCTTCATATTTTTGAACCATTTAACTACAAACAGATTATTCAATCTGAGATTGCGCATGGATTGTATCTCACATCTTAATTTTCTTCTGTGTAAGAACTTATATTGTCTTCTTGCTACCAGACCAAGGCTGAGTAAAGGTTTTTCCATTTGGCTTTGTCTTGTTCTATTTTTGAAATGACCCCACAAAAATTGAGGAAATATTATCAGGTCTTAAAGTGTCAGAGAAAACAGAAAATATTTCTTCATTACGGAAGACGATTTTTTTGCTTTAAAATGAAAACTGGTATCAAAGACTGAAAACAGAGTACATTTACTTTCTTAGCAAACAAAATCAAAATCAGAGCAAAGACAGATGCTTACAGTAACAAAACTTGCCTGGACCTACACAGAGCTCTGTCCAAAATTAACAGTGCTGTTTGAAAAACCTTCAGGCAATTTATGTTATATCCAACAGCATCCCATGGGAAAACTTTGGACATTCCCAATGAGACCAATACCAGATCTTGCTATAAATCAGGATTATATTGACCTCTTATTACCTTTACTCCCTCCACAGGTTTGAAAAATGATGGCTACATGTGGATACAGGATAGTTTTCCAAACAGGTAAGGAACTGCGTATTGCTTTTCCAGGTTTCTTCTTCTTGTTATAATCTACTAATCCAGAGAAATATTTTGTCTCACCCATCCGGTTTTTCATCCAGTGCTACATATTAATAGACACAGCTTATTTCAAAACACTCATTTTACTTATTTAAGACTTCTAAGTAGCTGTTTATTGAAAT